CGTATCCTCTTCTCTGCAGCCCCCCCCCCGAGGCTTGTGAAATCTGACATTTTCTCGCCATCGTGGAATGAATTGGATTTTGCTGATATATGCACTGTATAGTCTGTTGTAGGACTTTAACTCTTAGTTATCGTATGTTCCTTTCTGTTGTAAGCCGCCCTGAGCCCTGCTTGCAGTGAAGGGTGGCCTAAAAATGTAATCAATCAATCAAATAAATAAATAAATGAAAGTCAGTTAAATGTCAGAACTACCATTCTTGTTAGCTTGGCGTTTTTGAAGTTGTTATTCAGGAGGGTCTGTTTTCTTTTTATTTATTTTTTTATTTTTTTATCTTTCGACTTCTATACCGCTCTGACCCCGAAGGGTCTCTGAGCAGTTTACATTATTTTTACGTTACCTATCTTGCGCCACATTGTTGTATGGGGGGGGGGTGTCTTCCCTACCGACACCCAGGCAGCAGGGCTCAGTTGGTTTTTTTGTTCGGCATCTCCTTGTTTTTCCCGGCGTTCTGCTTTCCTGGCCCCTGGAACAAGTCTTTCTGGTGGCTTTCCTCTGGTGGGCCCGCCTTTCCGGTCCGCGGCCCCGCGACAGTCACAGCTTACGGTTCTGTCCTTTTGCTGGCTCCGCTGCACCGCCGCGTTGCCACGCCTTCCAGACTCCACCTCTGCTAGACTCTGCCACTCCGTGCTGGGCCCACAGGGTTCGCCAGGTCGCCGCCGCCGCCATTGTTGCTGCCGCAGTCGCTCACAGTCGCTCGCAATCTCTATTTTTAATTTTTCCTTATGCATTGTGTGTGTGTGTGTGTGTGTGTGTGTGTGTGTGTGTGTGTGTGCTAAGTGCTGTCAAATCTCTTCAAGTGTATGGGGACCCTTTAGATTAATGATCTCCAAAACATCTTGTTGTGGCTTCCTTGATGGAGTCAGTCCATCTCATGTTGGGTGGGTCTCCCTTTTTTTCCCTGCTGCCTTAAACTTTCCCTAGCATTATTGTCTTTTCCAGGGACTCTCGTTTTTGCATGTGACCAAAGTTCCAGTAGCCTCAGTTTGGTCATTTTAGCTTCTTGGGAGAGTTTAGGCTTCAGGCCTTAACACATTATTTTTATGCAATTGGTTTGAATTGATGCACATCTCTTGGCTTATATGAAATGATCTTCCTTGTGCCCCTTTATAGAAAAGAGTTTTTTCTAACAAAACAAAAATCAAGGTTTCTGTGCCTAGAGAAGGCGACTACTGTGGTCCGTGTCAATTATGTTGAGTTATCATCTTTGAATATGTGTTGGCTTGATTTATCTAAATAATTTTGCCGGTTGAGAGGAGGGCCAAAGAAATCTGCTGCATCCATGACTGTTGGAATCCTGCTCAGCCCCCTTTCCGGCGTTCAGAGACTTCCATCAAGCATTTTTCTAGGGGCCCAGGCAGGGCTGTTTGGGGTTTTACGCTAAAAATGTTGACTGAGCTGTCCAAATTCTTTGCCAGCAAAAGCTGGCTTCTGCAATCTGTAGAGCTCGTGGGACCTGAGTGAAGTCTCTTACCTTGAGAAATGTATTCTGTAGCTTTTGCTATTCAGCAGAATTCATTGGGCTTCAGCGAGTTATGGGAAGGGCAAGAACCCGGACGCCCCACCCACAGCAACCGGAAAGCTCATTGTATCCGATTCTAGCTGTTAAGATTTTGGCAAGGATCGCCTGCCCAATTTTTTTTGCCTGTCTTTTGTCTTAACGACTAGACACTTGCTTTAAAATAAAGTTGAGATTCCTAGAAAAACGTATTCTGTGTCCACTACCCCATTGGTTGCTTTTTTTTTCTTTTCTGTTCCTCCAGAATTGTGGCATACACACAATCTTGGCTTTAAGGTCTCTATAAACAAATGCCCTTTTCCATATTGCTTATGAAGGTGGCTTTCATGTAACGATGACAGCAGGAACACTTTTACATCCCAGATAGGTAACTGTTTTAGGCTGTAGTGGCAAAATAATACAGAAATCCAGAGGGACTTTACAGGTTAACAAAATTCATTCCAGCATAAGCTTTTGAGAGTCACAGTTCACGTCATCAGATACATGGAAGTGTACACCCGCCTTTTTTTGCCATCAAGTCACAGCCGACTTACGGTGATCCCGTGGAGTTTTCAAGGCAAGAGACATTCAGAGGTGGTTTGCCATTGCCTGCCGCTGTATCGCAGCCCTGGACTTCCATGGAGGTCTCCCACCCAAGTACTAACCAGGGCCAGCCCTGCTTAGTTTCCAAAATCTGATGAGATCAGGCTAGCCTGGGCCATCCGGGTCAGGGTACGTCTGCATTGTCCTCGTGGATATACACTCCTTTGCATCTGATGAACTGAGCTGTGACTCACAAAAGTTTACACTGGAATAAATTTTGTAAGCCATTTAAGTTACCACTAGACTCCTCTTTTATTTTCCTTAACGTTCCTTAAATGCTGCAACCCAATTAATGTATATGTTAATAAGAACATAAGAACATAAGAGAAGCCAATGTTGGATCAGGCCAATGGCCCATCTAGTCCAACATTCTGTCACACAGTGGCCAAAAATACCAGCTGCCATCAGGAGGTCCAGCAGTGGGGCCAGGACACTAGAAGCCCTCCCACTGTTGTATAGTATAGGCTAGTGGGAAGGGAAATGCATAACTAAAGATAAGTTGCATTACATCAGTCTAATGTAGGCTGTGAAAAGGGACCGTGTCAGTACCTTGTTGGTGCTGAATAATGGTTGAACAGCAGACTTTACGCATGTCCCCATTAGGAAATTACTGCAGAAGCAATGCAGGTGGGCAGCATGGGTACCTGTGGGGATGGAGTGTCTTGTGCAGAGAATAAGAACATGAATGAAGGATCAAATAAGGAAAAATTATTGGGTTCTCAACTAAAGCTTCCTCTAAGCTGTGGAGTTCTGTGAGCAAAAATTCTGCTTTGTGAGCTGCTGGCATTAAAGTTGCGAGCGAGCGATTTGGCTGCCACATAAATTAATTTGCTCTGGAGCCCTCCTTCCTGAGCTAAGACAAAAATGTGTGAGTGGGAGGCTAAAAAACTGTGAGCTGGCTCATACTAACTCAGCTTAGAGGGAACACTGTTCTCAACACTAAATGTCCTTCAGTAAGTCATTGCCATCTGTGATGGAGTCAGAAGAGAGATGGGTTGGAATGAAAGGCTGCAAACACCGGGGTTTTTTTTGGGGGGGGGGAATCTTCCTAACAGGTTACAAACGAGCACACTATCTATGGTATGTTGGCTCTGATCAGTAGTTTGCACCTGTACTCTCTGGACCAAAATTGGAAGGCATACGATAAGACACATCACTCAGCAATTGGCTAAGGCACAAGGTCAGATTCAAGGAGGCCTCACAAACATTCTTTTGCCTTGTGTAATTTATTCTTGATAGTTAAACTCCTTCCTTGGTCCTATATCAACTTATATATTGTTTTTGTATATTGTTTTACTCAGGGGTCATTTCGTAGAAAAAGAGCTAGGGGAACTCATTAGCATAACTCATTAGCATATGCCACACACCCTGACATCAGGGGCCCGGCGGTGGACCTGCAAGGCCAGCGGGAGTGGGAGGAAGCCCCGCCAAGGCCCTCCCTGGCCCCAGGCAGGCAGAGGTGGGGAGAGGCGGGGAGGAAGCAACTTACCCTCCCTCTTCTCCTGCTTCCTCCTGGCTGAATGAGGGCTGGAAGCGGGGCGGCCGGAAGCAGGGGGCGGGGCTTCGTCATGTGCCCCGCCCCCCTGCACCTCACCCGGGGGAACTGCGTTCCCCCGCATTCCCCCCCGAAATGACCTCTGGTTTTACTATTGTATCCTCAGCCTTTATGTGCAGACATTGTTTGACCATTGAAGAAGGCCAATTTGGGCCGAAACACTTTGGGTCGCAATCGTTCCCTTTTGTATACATTGCATTTTTATGCTGTAATGAGGCTACAGTTGGGCCCATAAATGTTTTTAACCGTTTGATAATAAATACATGTACTTTCGATAGTATTTGTTGTTGTTGTTGTTGTTGTTCAGTCGCAGTCAAGTCCGACTCTTCGTGACCTCATGGACCACATCATGCCAGGCCCTCCTCTCTTTCGTGGTGCTCCGTAGTTTGCTTAATTTCATTATTAATATTTAGGTTACACATATAGCTTTTAGTAATTGGCCCTGTATTGGTTTGTAACTAACCTTTTTGGTTCTTGATTCAGTTCTTTCGGGTTACCTTTCTTTTCTTACAAACAAGCTACACCAGAACTTAAAATTGTCAAGGTGATGCATGTGAATTGGTCCAGCCTTTCCACACAGATGCTGGCAAGATACTCTGTTGTTGCATTTTCAACAGGGCTTTTGTGTTTTAAAGGCACTGCAGAACTGCAAACGTTTGATAATCAGGCATAGATGTTGGCATGCTGAAAATCCATTCCTAGAAGCAAAAACAACCCTGGGTTTCTAGTCCTTTTGTCTTCAAAGGGGATGCTTGGATGCTTAGAAGATGCTGTGTTTGGACCTCTAAGGGTCATAGGGACGTTGTTCTTTGGCTTTCCCCCATCATGCAAAATAAACATATATGCAAATCCGTATTTACCGTGCCGTCTTTGGCTGTTATGAACACTGAAAAAAAATGCATCTTGGAATCTAGTGATTCTTAGTAGAATCCCAGAGATGAAGTTGACCCAGGAGGGGAAGGAGTTACCCAAAGAAGCAGGCAGTTGGATGCTCTTAGCTTCCAGAATTCGGTTTCTTTAAGATCTCTCTGGTTTATCTTATCTGAAAGTGATATGGATTGGGGAGGGTCTTCTGCCAGGGTTCTGTGTGCCAGATGTTCCTTGCAGCTGGAGGAGGGATAATTCCAGGCAGATGCACTGGGTGGGAAGGCTGAATGAGAGAAAGAACCAGCCTCACGTCTGCCTGGACCGAATCCTGCTGATGCCTTTCTTTCCCAGCTTCCTTTTTTTCACCTGCTACTAAAAGTAGAAAACCCTGGTCTTTACTTTTCGATTTTCCTTTTATAGAGCCGGAAGGACAAGGAAAGACCGAAACAGAAGCACAAGAAGCGTTCGGAATCACCCACCAGTCTGACACTGTCCTCCGTGCCTGTTACCACTGAAAAGGTAATAAAATGATGCATGTGAAAAGGGTTCAGGCAATATGTTTTGCACCAGATCTTTTACTGTGTTAGCCGGCGCTATGCGTCTTCCATGCTTTGCGCAAGGATTATGATACTTGGTATCCAGTGTAGAATTCCCTCTTCTGAAAAATGCATGACAGTGTTGTCTTTTTTTCAGGTGGGTAGCCATGTTGGTTTGAAGTAACAGAACAAAGTTTGAGTTCACTTCTCTGGCACATTTAAGACTAACAAAGTTTGATTTGGGGTATAAGCTTTTGTGGGCATAGACATTTCTTCCGATACTGAAGTATCTGAAGAATTGTGCGTGCACACGAAAGCTTATACCCAAAATTAAAAATTGTTGATCTTAAAAGTGCCACTGAACTCAAACTTTGTTCTATTGCCTTTTGTGTGTGTGTGCGTTTGTAAATCAAGTTTCTAGCCCTCATGATTGTAAGGTAATAATAAGCTTGAACATCTGTGATGTGGCGTCAGAGGCGACACTGTGCACTTCTCCAGCAGTTCATTGTTTACAGTACTATGCGTGGTTCTCTGTAGCTGCTAGAAGCGGAAATGCGTTACATGAAATAAAGAAACATATTGATTCCCTGCTCCTTCCCAGTTTCTCAGCTGCAGCATCCAGTTTTTCTCGACATACAAATTGGGTTAGCCGAGTGCGGAATGTGGATTTAGCACGCAGCTCGTTGTTGGAGAGAGGAATCGAGAGGACAGGCACAATTTGAGAGAGCGGGAAAGGGAAACAGGCCTTTCCCTTACCCACCCCAATTTGTTCCAGAGCCTAATTGCTCACATTTCCCCACCACTGGCAGACTTGGGGGTCCTGGGAATTCCATATTGCAGCTGCCTGCTCCCGAGGACATAATCTCGGAGATAAACCCTCCAGTGATTTAAGGCACAGGTCCCAGCTCGTTTTTGTAGCACATGGCTTCGGTTCAGGCCTCCTGTGCCATTAATAGCATAAATAGCTGAGCTCTGCTTTCACACAACCCCCCCCTCTCTCTCTCGGCAACCCACTTGTAACCGAAGGACACAAGCAGGCTTTGCTTTCTGGGGCCAGATCTAAGGTTACTTCTCTACATCAGGGCTGACCCATTAGGTTCAGTAATGAAGCCTGTAGGAGGAATTCCGTTTGCAGTTTTCCAGTCCTCCAGGCGACAGATTTCTGCAGGAAAATCTGACTTCAGTGTGTTCTTTCAGTATTTTCAGCCCTTTGGTTCAGTAAAAGGCCTTTGGATCATTCTGCGGGGGGGGGGGGGTTGTTGTTTTCTTTCATTGGCTTAGCACATTAGACTGGGGAGACACAATAGCTTGTAAGAGACTTTGGAAGCGGTTTGAGAAAGACATTGTTCTTCTATCTGTCTTAGAGCCACTGTCTTAGAGCCAGTTTGGTGTGGTGGTTATGAGCGCGGACTCTTATCTGGGAGAACCAGGTTTGATTCTCCACTCCTCCACATGCAGCTGCTGGTGTGACCTCGGGTCAGTTACAACTTCTTTCGGAGCTGTTCTCTCACGAACAGTTCTCGAAAGAGCTCTCTCAGCCCCACCTTCCTCACAGGGTGTCTATTGTGGGGAGGGGAAGGGAAAGGAGATTGTAAGCTGCTTTGAGACTCCTTTGGGTAGTGAAGTGTGGGGGTATAAATCCAACTCCTGCTTCTCCTCCTCCTCCTCCTCCTCTTCTTCTTCTTCTCCTCCTCCTCCAACTCCTCCTCCTTTGTGGAGAAACAGGTCTTGTAGGGTTTTTTGTTGAAACAACAGTCCTTTTTGAGTGTTACAATCTAGAGCCTACTAACCACATATAATGAGACTGTGCTCTATCCAGGATCCCTCCAATATACATAGTCACTGTATTGTGTGGCTGGGGCAGTACGTCTGTTTACCATTTATTTATTTATTTTATTATATTTCTATTCCGCCCTCCCCGCTAACGGGCTCAGGGTGGCTCACAGTTTAGGGCACCATGTGTCAAATATAAAAACATATAAAAATGCATAAAACAAAATAAAACAACCATATTTTACAATTAAAGGGCTCAGTGATGTTAGTCCTTCAATCAAATTTAGATGGCATAGTGTAGATTTAATACAAAGTCCCGGTTCAGCGGTAATCGATCTGTCACAAAGCTGTGGCTCGATCTTCATAGGGCCGCCCCACTACCCAGTTGTTACTAATGATAATATTTGGTGGTAGTGGTAGTGGCGGCTCCTAATTAAAAGCCTTGCAGAAGAGCTCCATTCTTACAGGCCCTGTGGAACTGTAAAAGGTCCCGCAGGGCCTTGATCTCCTCCGGGAGCTTGTTCCACCAGGTAGGAGCTGCCACTGAAAAGGCCCTGGTCCTGGTTGCAGCAAGCCTGGCCTCCCTGGGGCCTGGAATAACTAGCTGATGTTGTGACCCCGACCGTAGTGCTCTCTGGAGTATGTGTGGGGAAAGGCCGTCCCTCAGGTATGCCGGACCCTGGCCATCTAGGGCTTTAGAGGTAAGTACCAGCACCTTGAAGCGAATTCGGTATGCTATTGGCAGCCAGTGCAGTGCTCTCAGCACAGGCCGGATGTGCTCCCATCTGACCCATCAGGAGCCTGGCCACAGAATTCTGCACTAGCTGCAGCTTCCGGATTTGTAGAGAGTGTTACAGTAGTCTAATCTCGAGGTGACCGTTACATGTATCGTTGTAGCCAGGTCATCGCGGTCAAGGAAGGTAACCAACTGCCGAATCAGCTGAAGGTGGTAAAAGGCTGACTTGGCAGTAGCTCCCACCAAACTAGCTGATTTTTTCATAAAAATTGTTAATGCATAATAATTGTTAACCTGGTTAAAATTCCTTAGACTAAAATGCCGTTTATTTAGAGTTCTGGCAACATTACTTTACAGAGTGCAGTCACAACCAAACTGGGGGTCCCTGAAATACTTAAATGCCCAGGGAGGGTAGGAGTGAGACGTATGGAGACATTCCTATATGGGAGTATTTTTAAGTTCCCTACAAACTGAGTTTTGATGTGCACGTCGTAGAACTTTTGTCATCTAAAGAAAAGAAGCAGTAGACAGATTTGGGGCAACATATGACTTTAGCCTACTATGATCAGGCCCAGACTAAAACCCTCAATGTTGGTGTCCCTATTCGGTATCGTGTGCTTACCTGGCAGAGAGAAAACATTTGCGGAAATGACGGCACTGCAGGGTGCATCTGCAATGTAGTCAGGGGTCCTAAGATAATCACTGAACCTGTGTTGACCCCCCCCCCCCATGCATCCTAGGGAGACAGTTGGCATCAGAGCTGTTTGGCCAGCAGGAGCGAAGATTGGGGCAGGGTTGGCTGACTGTCACCCAGGACTGGAGAAATACTTTCTGCCATCGCTCACTTGCAGGGGATGGGGTTATGCCAACATGGCATTGGGCTGACAGTGCATTGATGGAGTGCCAGAATGTCTGAAGCTTCCCTGTCAAAATTACTGCTAGCAACTGTTGGGGGATGGAAGCAGTAAACAAAATAGGGACTTGCGGGGGACATGCGGAAACAGTTGCAGCAGCCACTCTTTGAGGTAGGGATTCTCCTTCCCCTGTGGATCTGTGAAGGGCTGCCAAACTGGAGACCTCTCAGAATTACAACTGATACCCAGACAATAGAGACTAGCTCCCCTGGAGAAAATGGCTGCTTTAAAAAGTGGACTCTGTGGCATTGTACGCTGCTCAGGTCGCTCCCCTCCCCAAACCCTGCTTTCCATAGATTTCCCCCCTCCTCTCCCTGAACCCCGCCTTCCCCAGGTTCCCCTTCCCCAAATCTCCAAGTATTTCATGACCCAGAGCTGGCAGCCCTAGGAGGTTCCCCTAAGGTGTCTGCTGCTGCAATCCGAAGAACACTTTCCTGGGAGTAAACCCCGTGGAATAAAATATGCCTGCATAGACCAGTTTAGGACTGCTTCCAGTGTCCTGAAGTGGACAATGTGTAATGAGCCCGTGTGTAGCAGCTTTAGCAATAGATGTTTGTTCACCTCGTTGCCTGTTTGTCCAGAGTTCTCCCTCATTGCGCAAAGTGCCGTTTCTGTGATGTTCCCAGCCGTCATCACAACACAAAGCCTCGTTAATCCATTGTCAAGATGACAATACGCCTAACCGACTCTTGTCAATGGGTTGGATCCAACCACCTTTTTCTGTTGGTGGAAAAGGGGGGGAGGGCTTCTCTTTGACCGCATGTTGGGGATCGCAGGACCTGCACAGACAAAAGCCACATTGGACAGAAGTGTAATATGGAAAGGACCTGGCCAAGATTGAGGGGGAAAGCTAGCTGGATCTGACCCAATATTCTAAGACACAAAAGACGTCATTTTCTTACAGTCTTCCAGTGTTTTCCTCGTTTTGGAGCTCTGCTGGTGGGAACCCTGTTTATGGGCTACGTGATATGGGATAGCAACAGGTGTGAATTTCATTTCTCTTGAGCTTCAGGAGGGCCATAAGCAGGATACGTCTCTAGCGGGAGTTTGAATTCTTGTTCTCATTGGTTTGCGTCTGCATAGGTGCTCGGAGGGTATGAAGTTGCAGCCAGAAAACTGTAAGTAGGATCCAGGGACAGAGCTCTTGATTTACCTGCCTTGTTCTCAGCAACTCGCTTGGTTATCCTGTTTGCACATTTACCGGGGGCGGGGGAGGAACAGCCATCTGGTCAGCACTTTTATCCACTTTAATTAAACTGGATTATTTTAATTGGATTTAGCCCGTTCTTAATATAAATTTATAGCGTTGCGGTTTGGTCGAGGGTAACGCTTTGCCCTGAGTTTTTGTCCAGAAGAGGCCTAATTGCCTGTTTTATTCCCCCCCTCCTCCATCTTGAAGGTGTGTCAGCTTGACATGGTTCAGTCTAAGAAAGCCGCGTACTTGCCTTTAATAAGGGAACACCCACGTGGATGAAGGTGGGGAGCGGTTTCAGCCAGTTGTTATCGCAATCTTTTAACAGGCCCACAACCTCTTGATTCTTATAAATTAGTTGAAGGGCT